CGAAATATTTTAACCTCATTGTTTTGGCAAGAAAAGTGAAAGCAGTAGCTAAAAGCCTTTTGAGTCTCGAGTTGTGCTATTCATCAGGTCTTTGAAGAGGGCTCATCGAGAAAAAACCCATGTGTGTGTGATACAGTAAATAGCATGTTCTCATAGGATGGCGATCTACTTCAATCAAATCGCGAGCTCTTAAGAATAGTACTGTGGCAGCATTTTCTGTCACTTTGAAGCTGGTACATATTCAGCTCTGGATCATAACAGTAGCAGAATACATAAAAATATAATGCGAATAATTTTTATTTGAAGTTGTATTTTATTTGTGCCTTAGAAGTTGACCCAGCAGTCTAGGCCTACAGCAGCATAACTGAGGGATAAAATCAGGTTTATCTGAAACAGTCCTTCAATCTCTTTAACTATCAATATAGAGAGGATGTCAACATGTGAAGCAAACCTGGCAGCTGGATCCACAGGTGAAGTGCATGTGGCTGGTTCTGGTTCTGCTTTCTAGTCATTCTGTAGCATTTTGGACAAATTGAACTCGTTCCACCTGCAGCCTGACTGCAGAGAGTAACTAATTAAAATATCATGATATTTCTAATTGTGTAGTATTATGCAGTTAGTGAAAGACTGATGTAAAACATTGCCTCATATGTGTCTCAAAAGACAGATACTGATCAAAATATTACAAGATCAAGAAGATTCCTTACTGTGGAACTAGTTACCATGGTGATGTTCTTATGTTATTTTCAAACTAAGCCTCTCTTAGATGTTTGGGGCGTTTGAGTATAACTACTTTATCTGAGTGTAAATGAAGAAAGTTGCATGGATAAATATAGTTGAATATCATCTGCATAATAGTGAATGCTTTCTAATAATTGAAACATATGTAAAAGGGAATATTATTGGCTCAAACAAACTGTTGCTGAGTAAATAATTATTAAAGGAGTCTAAACTAAACTGTTGTGAAACACAGCTGTAAAATTGTTTCTTACTAATTTAGCCGTGCCCATAAAGTTCTTGTGGGATGTACGACGGCTGGATAATTTTGTCTGGACTGGTGCAAATGTGGAATCCCAGAAAGTGGAGACGTAAGGAAAGGTGTTTATTGTAAAAACAACAAGGTAACAGGGAATTAGACAGGAGTCGAGGACAGGAAAAATAGGAGTTAGTGGTAAGACGGAAAGTCAGTAAGAGGAAAGAGAGGTGCTGCGTCTGTCATCCATACATTTATATTACTGTATATGGCACTGGAGACAGGTCACAGCCGGGCTTTGGTGGGCCGGTATTGTGAAGATATTTTGTTCTGTGTGCTGATAGTATACAGTTTTACACAATGAATGCATCATCAAATGCTCCTTTTTAGAGCTATGCTAATAACTGCTGCATTAGATAATATTTCTTTAAAAGGTTTCCTCCCTTCATAGTAATTATGGCCTGTCTAATTCCTTAAAAGTATGTCGTTATTTTTTAGTCAAAAAGATACACAATATCCTGTGGAATTGAGAGGGAAAAAGCAGAAAGTGTTCCTTAAAGAGAGACGCGTCGGTCAAAAAGCATGGAAACCAAAACAGTCTCTAACCCTGGATGGCTGCTGTATAGTTTTACTGTGCGGTTCAGACGAGATTTGTAAGCAGGCAGCGCGACTTCAGGACATCAGCGCTTTTCACGGAAGGCAACGTCAGGTCAGATTTAATTAACGTGAACAGTGAGTTGACATGTGTTGTCATTTGAAATTTTTTTTTTTTTTTCCTCAGAAGTAAATGTGTTTTACTGATGTAAAGATTTCCGATTCAGTGCAAAGTCCCAATGGAAGAAGATGTCACCGTGGCACCATTGACGTTTGGCCTCCAAACCACACAGCTTGCTCCAATCAATAGCAGAACAAATTCACGTATTGATTTAAGAACAGTGCTTCTGATTTAATGTACATTTTAAGTAGTAAGCATTAGAATAAAAAATAAATAAAAATGGGTGCTAAGATTTTTCCCCTTATGTTGTATTTCTTCAGATCATCTTTCTTTGTGAAAAGCAGTAAATCCAACGGGGACAGCCAGTCTTTTATCAGGATAAGTGTCTCGGCATTAAACTCTTATGAAAATATCAGTCTCACCAGATGGAAAAGGACACAGGTATTCTGGGTATTTGGCAGCGGGTGCGGAGGAAGGAAAGGCAGGTATTTGGAAAGTATGGGGATTCACAGTGGACAGACAGGAGGATAAAGAGGATGTGAGTGAGAACAATGGAGCATGTTTACAGTTGTGGGGTGGAAGAGCAGTCAGACGGTCTGTGTTTGTCGTTTGGTGCGATGTCTTAAAAGTTAAAACAGATGATGTCTTTTATCCAGAAATGCCTGAGAGCTGTGATCAGACGGAGGGGCGAGCTGCATGTTTCTGAGTGTGAGAATACTGCGATCGTGTCTTTCTGTTAGAACAGTATCGTTGGGATTAAGTGAAAATGCAGCGTGGAATATTTTCTCCCGGTGACCACCCTGTGTGCACACAGATGTGTTCAGAGCCTCACTTGACTGAAGATGTGAACGCCAACAAAAACATAACAACCACCTTCTGTACGTTGTCGTTGACAGTCCGCTGCTGAAAACTAACGTCAACACCCTTATTTTTTTTCATCTGTTTAATTGGAGAAAACAACTGCTTTCTTTTCCCTCTTATGATTTAGTAGCTGTTAGGCTGACATTGACATTCCGCTCACACAGTAATGGCTGCTATATATCAACGCCACCCCTGCTGTTCACTGACCTCTGGTGGGCTTGGTGAATCCAGTGCCGTTCCAAGACGGTGTTTAAAAATAATAAGGACAGACATAGGAATCAATGTGTGGGAGTAGATAATGGCTGGGTGGAACCTGTAGGTGAAGGAGAGAGTGGGGCGAGTAATGGAGAGAGGGAGAGCAGTGATGGAGTGGGGGGTATCTGAGGTGACGGGAAGAACTGCCCCAGCAGGTACGTTATTCCTGACCAATGTGACCAAACTGTCTCCTCTATCCAGGAAACACGATTTTATATCGTTCTGTTATTTGTTTATCATTTTATATTTTGGCTAATACAGTGGTTCTGGAACCTTTTTGGCCCGTGACCCCATGTTGACATGACAGACGACCGACCCCACAGACTTTTTA